AAATTAATTGCAATGACCCATATCATTAAATATTACATTTAATATTTTAAACCCAAATCAAATTCAATTAATTCCAACAGAAACATAAATTCCAAGTGCATCTTATTGGATGTCGATTATGAACCCAAAATATTAGATTCTGGACTTGCTAGTCTCATGAATCCCATCGGAGCTTATTTAGGTACTTATGTAAATGGTGAATTTGGGGACATGGGCTATGTTGCTCCAGAATATGTAAGAACATTGCTGGCCACTCCAAAAGGGGACGTTTATAGTTTTGGGGTCGTGCTTCTTGAGTTAGTGACAGGCGAGAGACCGACCAATGTGGCTAAAGCCCCTGAAAGGTTTAATGGTAATATAGCGGATTGGATTTTCCAGCTCGCTGGAAACTATAAACTTCAGGATGCAATTGATCAGTTCTTGGTGGGAAAAGGTTATGATGATGAGCTTTCCGAGTTTCTTAATGTTGCCTGTAGTTGTGTGCTGACAGATCCTAAAGAGAGGCCTACCATGTTTGAAGTGTACCAGATTTTGAAAGCTATTGGACAACGGTATAATTTCCCAACAGAAGATGACATCTTGCCATCCGACCATGGTGATGCTGATCAACTAGTGGAACTTATCGTCTCTCGAGATCCATGGAGATCTACGAAAAGATGTAGTGACAAATACGATGAGTGAAATCATAATCCATATATGATTATATATTTTGTTGGTCTTCCAAGTTCATCTACTCAAACGTTTACTTGTCTTAGTGTGTGCAATATCTCACTATTGAGCCATAGAAGCAAACTCAGCAATCCTCTTCGAAAATATCATTGTTCAGTCAGGAGTCCGGATATTACATATCCCCTTTCTGTCATCTTCTTATGTTTAGATTACTGCACTGTTTATTTTGTATCTTTATCCCAACTGGAAATATAATATATGTAGAGTGCTAATATGGAGTATTATTTCATGTTCTTAAATAGCTTTATTAATTTTCATTTGCCTGTATTGGACATAAGCTTCAAAAGTTACAAGTATAGAAGCGTCTTGATTGACTGACATGACTCATGAAGCTGCTAACGGACTGCCGAAAATCAGTTTTATTTGTTGCTATTCTTTAGGCAATAAAGAAGTCAAAGTGACTGTTAAGATCATGACCATTTCATAATGCTATTTTTTAGGCACTTAACTGATTTGTTTGATAAGTGTATTTTTATACACTTATTCGGGGCCCTAAAATAGTTTTAGCAATTTCCTAAATTGTTGTATTTTATGTTTTATAGGTAAACTATATAAATGAAAAGGAATTGAAGGAAAGAAGTAAACAATGGTGAAAAGGCAAAATCCAAAGTACAAGGACTAACTTTCATTGCTTGGAAAAGATGAAACTTTGAAGAAAATAATACATTAATTGGGTCTCAACTTGGACTACTGTTGAAAACAAAACCAATTGGGCCTAGCATTAATTTTCCTTGGGCATTTGAATGGATAAATACACACATGCATTGACAAGGAAAAGGGTCGGCAGTTGTTGGGATCAAGTAAAAAGGGCTGCATACCACACATATAAAGAGGGAATAAGAGTCCTCTGGAAAGAAAAAAAAAATTGGAGGTGGCTAATTGACACACACACACACACACACACACACACACACATGCATAAGCACCGAAACGGGAGAAGGAAAAAGACGGAGCTGCTTGGGAATTTTCGGCACAAACACGGAAGAAAGGACATTGAGCTGCTGGATTATATTACATACATCAATAGGTAGCTGATTTTTGGGATACAAGTCGGTAGCTTGTGGAGAAAAGTCGAGGGAAATTATACACGCAGAAATTGGGGAAAAAAAGGCAGCCTGCAGAACAAATAAAGTGGGAAGAAAACAAGTTGGTGGCTAGTTTTATATATTCAAATACACAAAAACAGAAGTAACAGCTTTGGGAAGACAAAAAAAGGGCTGAAATATATGTACAAATTGGCCGCATATTACAGGAACTAAAGAGGAACAAAGCAGACATATATACATGGCTGGAAAGAAGAAGAAAAGACATGCAGAAAAGAAAGGAAGAGACGGCAGATTCACGTTGGAAAAATTAATCACGTTCTGTCAAATTTTGGTGATATCTTTTAACGTTTGTGTGTTTAATTCCGATATTATGCGTGGCTAATTTTTTTTATATTGCTAGGATGCAATGAACCTTTGTTATGAAGTTTTTTGTTTGAATAATTAAATTGACGTTAATTTGTTTAAGTTTTTGGATGTTTATTATGGTTTAATTTCCTTTTCAATTACTTGGTTAATAATTGAATTGTTTGTGAATTTTATTATCATCGAGAGAGATAATAAGATCATGAGCACGTAGTAATAAATATTGTGAGGTTCGATAGAGATAGAGATAGAGATATACTTGTATGCTTCACATGATTTTTATAGATGTTCTAACTCATTTAATGCTTTCTTGCATGTTTTTATTTTTCATAGAGATATAGGAAAATCATGTGTAGGATTAGATTTAATTGCTATCAAGAAAAGCTTTTAAATAAAATTGGAACATTGACCAAGAAGTATAATTCAAATTGTCAATTTAAATTGTTGAACTAAAAATGAATTAACAAGGGGGATTCTACATTTTAGCAATACATTTCGCAAATTTGATAAACTTTTTACTTTGCTTTCTAGTTAGTCGATAGATTTAATATTGTTTAGTTACAAATTGATTTGCTATTCAATTAAGGGTATTGTTAGCTTTGACTCAATCAAAAACATGGTTCTCGTGGATTCGATACTCTACACATCATTTTATTACTTGTTCACGATCTCGTTTACTTGCGGGTAATCAGACGACCAATGCTCAACATGTAGCAGATTTTTCTACAATTTATTTTTCATTGAGCTGTGCAAATATATGCTTTGTTTCTCAATGAAATGTGTTTTCTATAGTCTCAAAAATATCTTTCTCCTGTTATTTTTGCACTTTGGTATTTTAAATAATCACCAAATTGGTATCAGAGCTTTCTTGAGGACTTGTGAGATTGAGTGAGTCCATACAGAATTCCTAAACTCTTATCATCTATCTCTGCGCAAACACACAAACTATAACCTATTCAGAATGAATTCAGAAGCTTTATTCACTGCAATTTCAGCTTCAGTGTTTGATGAAACAAATTATCGAGTGTGGGCTACTGGGATGGAAGCCCATCTTGATGCTAATGGTCTGTGGGAAACTATTGAAGAAGTATATGAAGTTCCACCCCTGCCAGAAAATCCATCCCTTACAAATCAAAAATGGAAAGGAAAGGAGGCAAAGAAATCAAAAGCAAGAGCAACCTTCTTTGCATTTGTCTCGTCCACCATTTTTACTAGAATAATGGCACTGAAAACAACCAAGGAAATTAGGGATTTTTTAAGCTAAGAATATGAAGGAAACTGTTGAAGAAGTATATGAAGTTCCACCCCTGCCAGAAAATCCATCCCTTGCACAAATCAAAAATGGAAAGGAAAGGAGGCAAAGAAAATCAAAAGCAAGAGCAACCTTGTTTGCATTTGTCTCGTCCACCATTTTTACTAGAATAATGGCACTGAAAACAACCAAGGAAATTAGGGATTTTTCAAGCTAAGAATATGAAGGAAATGAAAGCGTCAAAGGAATGCAAGTGCTAAATTTGATTCGAGAATTAAAGATGCAAAAGATGAAAGTATAAAAAACAATAGGAATATACTGAAAGATGTCTTGGCATTGTCAACAAAGTAAGGCTACTTGGTATTGAGTTTTCTTATTCTAGAATAGTTCAAAAGATCCCAGTCACAATTTCTGAAAAGTTAAGAGACTACAATTTCATCTTTAAAAAACTCAAAAGATCTGTCAAGCATCACCATGGTAGAATTGTTGAACGCACTGTAGAAACAGGAAAAAACGAGGCTTATTAGGCAAGAAGGATTTGTGAAGAGTGCTTTTCAAGCCAAATCCCAACAATAATGGTGACAAAAATAAGAAAAAGTAGCAGAATAACAAGAAGCCTCGAAGTTCTGGAAACACAACAAAAATAACCAAAGCAACAATACTCAAGTCTTTCCACCTTAACCCTACTGCAAAAAAAAAATAAAAATAAATAAATAAATAATAAAATCGATTACATATAGAAAAAGTGTTGGTGGAGGCCAAATGCAAGATGTCACAAGTGTAGTCAATCAGGGCACATAGAAAAGATATGCAAGACTCAACAGCAACACGAAGAAACCAAGGTTGCTAAGGATTAACCTCAAGAGGAGCATTTGTTTGTGGTATCACACTATGCCACCAACAGCTCCACAGAAAGCCTAGCTTATGGATAGTGGTTGTACAAACCACATGACTTATGATTGAGAGCTTGACAAAATTGCTATTCCTAAAGTCAGAATTGGAAATGGAGCACAGATTGCAGTACAAGGCTAAAGAACAATGGCAATTGAAGACTGCACAAGTTTGAAATTAATTAATGATATTTTATATGTTCATGGAATTAATCAGAACCTTGGATTTGATGAAAGAAGAGCATACTGCAGTACACAAAGAAAATAGCAATATAGAGCTTCGACACAAGAGATTGGGGGCCATTCCATCATTTCGCTCGGCCTACCTAAATTAGAGGAGAAGCGTAGTACATGTGTTACATGTTAGTATGGGAAGCAGACAGGGGTTCCTTTTCAACAAACTTAGCCCTCATTTGGCCCACATTTTTTACAAATTTTAATGTTTGGAATAGTATTTTTTGAAGAATGTTTGGTTGAAAAAGAATAAAAAGTTTTTAATTTACATGTAATATTATTTTATAGAAGATTGTGTGGTAGAAAATGAGAAAGGAAAAAATGAAAGAGAATGGGGGCCGAACGGGAGCTTAGCATATAGTTTGGAGAGAGTTACAACCACGATTTCAAATATTTAGTTTGTGTCATCTACAATTTCAAATCTTTCATTTTATTGTAGCATAAGGACAAATGGTATTCATCTATTTGACCGTTAGTTGACTAAAAATATATATTTTGACCAAATTTATAATATTTTAAAAGAGTAAAATTGAAACTTTGTATTTTTCATATTAAACAATTAAAATAATTGTTTAAAAAATAAATAAAAGAAAAAGAAAATGTGTCTTCTTCCCAAACCATCCAAACCCACCCACCCCCAAATCCAAAAATCACCCACTATCGACCACCAGCATTTACTTCCACCAGCAGTTACCATTGGCATCATCGTAAAATTACCGATAACACTACTTTTTCACCCCAACCAGCCTGTGTAACGCCCCGACCCCTAGCGGACCGAAACGCTACTTACTTTACTTAGCTTAACCGGTGGTTTAGTAACAAGTGTATACGTTTTAGCGGAAGCTTACATCTTCGGATAATAATTAAAATAACAATACTTCAAATACTTTAAACAAAAACACTGAATCATTTTTCAAAACAACAAAATGTAATTTATTTGAAGAAAACATAGCTTGTTCTCGCATTCTGCGTTATTCAGAACTTTAAAAAAATAACATTGGAAAACATTTCATAAAAAAAAATCCAAATCACTTATTCACCGAATTTCCATGGGCTCGTTGTATCACTCTCCATCTTCTCCTCCATCCATGCCCAAGGTAGAATTCCTTCAATCTGTAGAGATGGGATTAAACTCGTGCGTTGAAAAACTCAATAGGTGTCATAAGT